TCATGGTTGGTCGAGCTCTGGATCTATACATTGCATGTAAAGCATGTGCCAGAGCAAAAACGCCATTGTAGATATTGTAACTTTCACCTGTCATGCTTCTTTCAAAAGTGTAATTTGGCACATTCTGCATTTTCTCATTTCCTGTACATGTTTTTTCTCCCTTAGGAGGGCTCTTTCCTGGTTTATAAACCTTGCAGTCAAAGACTATTTCCCACCATAGAGGAAGAAAGACATCTCCCTGGGGGTTTAAGGGGTCTAAAGACAGGAGGAAATGGCTGAATTCTGAGACATCCCCGGAGTGGTCCCTAAAATGCAGAGCTCCATGGAAAGGCTTTATAAATCGAAATATTCTTTGAGTTCCATGCATACTAAGTTTCCAATGAGAAGTTAAGATCCAAACTTTCCCAAATGATGTCTTTCTGGAGTTTTCATAAATAATCACAGTCAATTGTACACTGCTAGTAACAGCAGAGTCTCCAAGCAGAATAAGCACTTCTGCTTTAAGCCAGGTAAGGGCATTGAGAAGAAACTTTTCCATCCTAATTTGAGTATCATCTAATTTCAACTTTTCAGTGAAGGCCAGGCAGATCTCCTTCTCCTTGAGCATTGGTGTCAGAATTGAAATGAAATGTTCTCCATTGTCATCTTCAGGGGCCAGAAGCCCAACCCAGTTCCAGTGGAAATGCAGGAGCAGCTGGACTAAACCCACATATTGATGAAATTCCTTGGGATTGATCCAGAAGAAGAAAGGATAAACTGTTCTCTCTCCTTGAGAGAACTCAAAGCCAACACCGAGCTAGAGAAAGTGAGATTCTTTTTTCAAAGACAAAGTAAAGGTTGATGTTGACTTCAGGAGTCACCATTGTGTGGTTTATGGCCCAGCTGTCAGCCTGACACACTCTGAATGGCCATCAACCTGATACAGAGAATAAATGACACTAAAATGATGGTTACCCTTTATCAAATATAAACTAAGAGTCACAAGCTCGTGATATGCCCCCCCCCAAAAAAAACCCTACTTTTGGTTTCATCTTTGGCTTCTGCATATGCTTCTGATCTTTGTCTACTCCATACTGTAATCAATAGAGTTACCTGTGGGACCTTAAAAATGCTGAAGATCGAGGCCATCTGCCTTGAGGACTTGGCATTGAGACCACCAATGATGGACAGCAGAGTGTCCTGCTGGTCACATTTGTAACCTGGAACCGCTCGGCTTTGTGAGGAGAGCATGGAGAGGCTATTTGAGGAAATAACTATCTCAGTCTGGAAATGGCTATAGATGTGGAAGCCTAGTGTGATGTTGGGGAGCAGAAGAAAATCCATATTGACCTTGGAGATAGCAAACATCAATGCAAGGAACTGCTGGTAGTTACTGGGTATGAGTCTGTAGTGAGAAAAACATTGGGGAACATTAAAGGAAAGCTTGTGCATGCTGTTAGAATTTGCTTCACAGTTTGGGGGGGCATTCTGGTGGAGCACCTCTGAAATTTCATTGAGTTTGGGGTTTTTTTCAAAGGGTCTCCCATGGCTAAAGTTGTATGACTTTGTGAGAAAGGAGATAAGAATTTCCATCCATATCATGAACTGTTTTATAGCTCTCTATCATCTTTCCCATTTCACTATACTCCAGTGACTGAAATCCTTCCCAACTGCTCCTCTTTCACAATAATTTAGAGTTTCTCTTGGAGAAGCTTCTTCTGGTGTGGTAAACATTGCTGAGCACAGAACTATAGTGGGGGGTCACCTCATAGATTTACTGAAGGCCATTATACATGAGCAATGCTGATTCCAACACTGAGAGAGATTTTTATAGCTCCTGAACACTAGAAGAAGATTGAGCTATAAAGTTTTCCACTGTCCAGGTTAATATTATAATTCAACTTCTTCACTATGCCAGCATAGTGCCCCTCTTCATTTTTGTTTTTATCATCTTCCTGAGGAAGAGATTGAGAATTCCAGCCCTTTTTAAACACTGGATACATTATTGAGAGAAGCACAAAATGTGCACTACACCAGGACAGTGCAAAATACTAAAAAAGGTATTTCTGAAAGGGGTCCCAGAATTTAAAGCAAAGAGAACATATATGCATGTTTCTCCTCCAGCTGAAACTTACGCATAATCTAAAACAAGATTCACTGTATTAAAGTCTGGGACAGAAGATGTTAAAATGGTTCCCAGAGGCAAATTTCCACCAATAATGAGATCACCAGGCCTATAGTAGCTTTCCTGTAAGTTCATAAAATCCCTGAACACACATATGGTTTGGAGTCTCTTCACAGACGTTGGAACTAGGAGCCAGAAGAGCATCAGCAGTAGCAGTAGCATGACTCCTGCCAAGTCAGTCTTGTCACCTTCCCTCCTAGAACAGAAATCAAAATTTATGGAGAAACTGATTTAAAGGTTACTCTTGAAATCTCATTGGAAGTTGATCAAAAATAACCTCATCCCTGCAACCTGGATGGCCCCAGGGCAAATTTATATCAGAAATGCTTCTTCTGGTTTGGACAAAACTTAGCAGCACTTATTTGTGCCGCTGCTGATAAAAACAGGATCGCCAACATGATCGCCAACGTCCGATAACAGATATGGCCCAAGAAGAAGAATGCTTCTTCTTACCTGTGTTTGGGCCATGACCATAGAGGAAATAAAGGCATGTGAGTCTCTTCAAACCCAGGAGTTAGATCTTTGCAAGACAGGCTAGGGTGACATGTTTTGCTCCTCATCTGGAGAACTGAGAGATATTTTTTAAAGCAGGTTTTATCTTGGAAGATTTTGTGTCTAGAAGTCCACAGGGGATACACTAAGAATTACTGTACTTCTGATAATTGCAAGGAAAAGCAATTGTTCTACCTGTGTGGTGATAGCTTCTCATACACTAGAATGGAAAAACATGTTTGTGTTTCTTGTAATGCCCAGAGCAGATGGAGTCATGGTGAAGTTGTCAATTTGACCTCCGTGAAACTGACTTCCTGCATACAAGAGGGAGTTTGGCCTGTACCATAGTTGGTCAGCTTGTATGAGTGCCAATGGGGTTTGGTGGCACATGAGAATCTGTTGTACCCTTGTAACTGTTAGTGTTACAAGGAAGAACCAGTTTTTTTAAATAATCACATGGCAGGGAATGAAAATAGAAATTGGGATAACCAAGAATAGGTGCATACTGTTATGTGAATCTCTCCTTCATCTGAAGGTGGTTCCATTCAGTGTTGGTTGGAGTGAGAGAATGAGCCAAATCCATCGACTATCAGAACGTATCAAGAAGGCCTTCTCAGTTGGAGGTCAAGTATCATCCATATGTTGATGATATTCCATTGTAGAACAACTGATTGACCAAGTAGTGCTGTGAAGGTTTTACCCAAGTGCATGAATGTTGGATGGAAAGGAAGAGCCTCAGTTTGAATCCTAGCAAAAACAAACAGCTGTGCATCATTGTTCCTCCCAGAAGTGGAATTTTTATCTTTGGTTCAACTTTGGTGAAATTGCACTGAAACGCTTAGGACTCTTATGCAATCTTGGGTCTTCCTGGACTATTAGTTTCTGCTCAAGGACAGTATGGCAGCTATCTCAAGGAAAGTCTTTGTAAAAGTTCTTTCAGGTGCAAAACCTTGGGACCATATATGAAATTCCAATTAATTAATTATTAGTCATGCTAACAGGAACCTACTCCCCTAATAGCACTATCTTGGTGTTAGATAAGGATCAATGGATAAAGGGGGATTGGACTTAGTTCATTTGTGGCTACATAGAGACTTTAGGCTGATTCCTCTTTTGACTAAATGCCCAGGTTCTATCACTCCTCCTCAGTTTGTTAAACAGTTTGTTAAACAGAACAAAATTGAGCCGTGGAGAACACCCATGAGAAGAACAGAGAGGATAGAGACAAGAGTTGTGGAAGAGCAGAAAGTCTGCAGTTATTGGGAACAATCTACTCCCAGCTTGAATTCATCCTTGAGAGATTGGGTTGTTCCCCTACCTCTGAATGATTATTAATTTGCCCCCTACTGAAGAAACAATTGCTGGGCCACACCATACTGGACAATTTTGGTGGACCTTGGATAAATCCTCATTTCTTTGAGGGATCAGGCCCAGTATGGGATAGAAATGGCATTGGTTGCACTTTCAGATGAACTTTGTAAAGAGCAGGTTGTGGGTAGTGCATACATTCTGGCTCAATGTGACCTCCTTGGTGGTCTTTAATTTAATCAACCATAATGTGTGGGAAGTCAGGAGTCCAGACAATACAAATGAAAATAGTTTATTGTATTTTGATGCTTTCTACAAAAATCTGATCTACTGTACTAACATCATTGTCATCATTATACATTCTGTTTTGTCAGACTCTTGGCCACTCATAACCTGTAGACCAAAAAAAAGAGACGATTAACATACTGCATATGTTATGACATACTTTGCTCATTCCTCTTGGGGCAGTTCTTCCCCAATTCTGCCTGACGTTGATGAGCAGGTGTAAATGGGTGGGGGATTAAAACCCTACCATTTCAAAAATAATTGAGTAATTGTAGGGAATTCTATTAAGCCTCAACCTGTCTAATGAAACAACTATATATGTTCAAACAACGAATCAGCGAACACCTATAGGCAAACAAAGTCATTACTAAAAGCCAACACGGGTTTGTCAAAAATAGATCATGCCAGACAAATCTTATTGCATTCTTTGACCAAGTGACAAAATTAGTGGACCAGAGGAATGCTGTGGATATAATTTACTTGGACTTCAGTAAGGCATTTGACAAAGTAGACCACAACCTACTACTCAAGAAGATAGAAAAATGTGGGTTAGACAGCATCACCACCAGATGGATCCGTAGCTGGCTGACTGGCCGTACTCAGCGTGTGGTCCTCAATGGAACCGCATCTACATGGAGGGAAGTGTGAATGGGGTGCCCCAGGGCTCTGTTCTGGGCCCAGTGCTCTTCAACATCTTCATCAACGATCTGGACGAGGGGATAGATGGGGAACTCATCAAATTTGCAGACAACACTAAGCTGGCAGGAATAGCCAACACTCCAGAAGACAGGCTTAGGATACAGGAGGATCTGGACAGACTTGAACACTGGGCGCTATCTAACAAAATGCAATTCAATGGTGAAAAAAACAAGGTTCTACATTTAGGCAAGAAAAACCAAATGTACAGGTATAATATAGGGGGTACCTTGCTCAATAGTAGTAACTGTGAGAGGGATCTTGGAGTCCTAGTGGACAATCATTTAAATATGAGCCAGCAGTGTGCTGCAGCTGCCAAAGAA